CTAACCCCGCGATTGGAGACGTGAATATCCCAAATTCTCCGGAAAGAAGACCTCAAGAGATAACCCAAGAAGATGATTTGATACCTGACGAGCTCGGTGCAGGTGAAAATATTGGATTTAGAAGGTTTCACAGGCCCGGATTTAGCACATTAGGCTTCGCAACTTCATTATCTGGATCTGATTCTATGTCCAAGCCCGAGTTCGAATCTAATTTCTGGTTGCCATCCCGGGCTGATTCAAATTTTGAACCGCTATTGCAAGGGTTAGGCTCGAAAAAAGATGGTCAATTGCCACTAATATCAGGCGCAGATCCCGAAGAAGTCTTCGAGGATTCTTTGGAGGAATACTCAGGAAGTGTTGACGCAGATATCTGGGACTCGGAGAAAATAGTGACAGAATATCATAGTTTTGATGATAGGGGAATTTAAATAATGTACTCCATTCCAAATATTAGAGTAGTAATCACACCTCTATTATTACTCATAAATAAAACTATCTTCGATTCTAAGACCAGATCTTCAATTTATACATACTACTACTCACGCTCTCTTCAAAATGGGGTTGTAACACATGCGCACGCGGTCTAAAAGTTAGCTCAAAAGATCTCACATACCAATAGATCTAATGGAAAGGACTCTTTCCTTATAAACTTAGAGTAGCTTTGAGATGGATTTATCATCGAGTTCCAACAATAGCAGTTTCAAGTCTGAGGCATCCTATGACCATTATCTGCCAGCTCGACGGGATCAACTGACATTCATCACCTTGCTAGCTCGAGCAGTTTCAAGTTCCCTCGGTCTTCATAATGCGCGTCGTAAGAAGCATTCTCCTCTTTTTCCTCGGTGCTCTCTGGTCTACAAGTACTAGGGCATATCAAATAGCTTGGGGAGGGGTGGATACTACCTCCAAATATGTGGATGTCCTCGGCGCTGCAGATAAGAAGACTCCACCATGCTACGAGATCCCTGAGGAAATCGGTGTACCAGCAGATATCTACATACGCACAACCACTAGCGAAAAAGTCCCGAAATTTATTGCCTTACACACCTTAGATCCGGCAACTCAGGCCCAAGGTTGTGTACCAGAAAATCTTGCCACGATATTTGCGTTTTACCCTGGGGTAACAGGCCTCATGCAAGGCGCCTATATCAACGCTTTTACAGCGTTCTGGTGGAGAGAGATCAATCCAGCCAGTATTCCACCCGATTATACAGCTTCTCTCATTAAGAATCTCGACCTACAGCCTGGCGGTGTCGCGATGAAATATATCGCTCCTGATGGAACATCCGGGTGGTCATTCGATGCGGATTCGCAAGTTTATCTTCAAGATTACAACTTTGCCATTTCTGATCCTGGAAGTGCGATCTCTGAAGAGAGCTTTGAATATTCTGATGAAGCATAAAATCACATCATCATGTAAATATAGCTTCTATATGGATACTCAGGTCCAGTTTCAATATCATGAAAATTCAGATCCTAAAAGGCTTGCTTGCCAACTCTCATGTCCGTTTAGATTGGAGTAAATTTCGCCTTCATGCGGTATGATACCGCCAAATCAACACAAGAGAGATTTAATATAATGTTGAAAGCCTACAGAGCGCAGTTCTTTGCAATTCCAGTATGAGACACTGTTAATTAGTCTTGCTAATATAATGTAATATTAATGATGTTGTCGCTTATTTTCTTATTCCCATAATGAATAGTTATAGAAGCCACATGTTGCACCAGATTGAGAGTTTTGGAGATATTTTTTTATCTTTATATCCCGCTAGTTAACACTACTCTACGAGACGGGGCTCGAAAGCCCCTAAATTATATCGAAATGCAGTTCACAGTACTGCACTTCTTCAAACATCGCCTTTTCAGTGGCTAGTTCCTAGGATATTGAAGATGGGTCCAACTTACAAAACAGTCGGCCTTTTATACTTCACGATCTTGTCGACTTTGGTCGACGCATACGAAATCGCCTTTACATCGGATGAAGTAGAAACAGAAGGTTATCAATATCATTATGGGTTCCCTATGATAAGCGGAATGGAACCTACATGCAATAGCATACCTCTGGAATACAATCCACTAGAAGGAGCGGACGAAGTTCTTGTTCGAGCAAAAACAGGTACTCCGCCCGTACCTCGTTTCATCGGTTTATACAATAAAGATTCCCCCAATCTTGGGAAATGCAATCATAAAAGCTTGGAGCAAATAATCGCTTTCAACCCTCTCATATTTGACAAGCAGCAGATGGCACAAGTTTGGACAACTAGATTACACTATTGGAAAGAGATAGTTTACAATCCTGCGACCCCCAACAAAGATCTCGCATCTACCTTGATCACTGAATTTCACCTCGTCCCAGGACGATTTTTATACAAGAGCCGGCAAGACTTAGAATGGATCCTAGAAAAGCGAGATTTGGCGACTTACGATTGGAATGAAAATCCGTTCACGCGGGACCCGAATGGGACGCCTGAGCCGGACCAGATGGAGAGTGAGTTGAGGCTTAGAAACGAAGGCAAGACAGACACATGGATGAATGATATACAATTCGCCAAAGGGCAGGGTTACTTGAGAAAAGAGGGTTATAACAGTCAAACAGGGAGCCCATTGAATCCGCGGAAACCGTCTTGGGAAGATATCCCATCAGCACCTAACTATGGAGACCAAGACCTGGCGCTATCACCAATCGTTCCACCAAATTTTGCAGATTTAGAAGCAGAAATAAAATATGAACTAGATATCCTTGGCGAAGTTCCAGTGCATCCGAGAGACGAAAATGGTCTCCTTGTAGCACTCGACGGTTTTCCAGATATACCTGATGATCTTCCTGATTTCAGCACTCTCCTGCCTGATTTGAATTGAATCAAATATTTATTGTATAATAATTCCTATAGAACTTGGATCAAAATGCCTGGTGCGACGATATTGTGATTGAAAAATATATAATTTAATCGATTTTCATATTCCTCCATTAGTATATAATTTCAGTCTTGTATATAATTTTACTACGGAAATACTGAGGTTTTTCAAAGCGGTCGCAGCTAGTTCACAGTATACAGAAGAGAAGTACCGATCACCAGTGACTCGGGAACTGAGTTGGCAGCTTTAGACGGATGCGGGGAAGCTAGTATCGATGAAGCAGGATTGAGGCACAGCATAAAATAAAACTTTGCAAAACTTGCAAAACCTCATAGAGAGCCTCGAACCCGCGAAACCCATCGGAACAGACTATCATACATTCTGCTTTATCAAATCAAACAGTTACAACACCCAACCCTCACCACAGACTTCAAATACCTATCTCCACGCCATGTCTTATAACGTCTACCGAGTCGAGTTTACGATATCTCTCTTAGATCCTGAGGTTCCCCCACCAAGGTACCATAATGTGATTTTCGTCGAAACTGGAACAGATGGATCAGGCGTTATTCACAATGTCGCCGGCGACATGGTAGCTGGAATGAAATACGAAACCGAGAATAGCCCCAAACCAGAAGACTCCATAACCTATCACGCAAAATACTTTCTTGGAACTGTTAGTACGTCTGGATATCCTGCTAATATAGACGGTGTCTTGGAAGGGGTGCCAGCACCTACGCCCCAAAAATCCTTCAATCTTGCCACTATGGCGACAGAGCAACATAAGAGTCCAGGGGTTTTTTACGCTCCGGGCGAACCTCGGCCACCACTGTACAAGTGCACAGAGTGGACCATCAATCACGCGATACCGGCACTCATAGAAGCTGGAGTGCTTCACGCCTGATGCCTGAACCTCCTTCTCCTGATGAACTCAATTCAGGGGATTAGAGGTTTTACTATCTAGCAACTACTTTTCCATTGATATCAGTGGCCGCTACGGCTTCCCAATATTACATCGATACAAGAGAGCAACATTGACTAAAGTCCAATAGACGGCCTACACATAAAAACCACAATATTGCAGAGTAGAAATAAATACGGCGTAAGCTATGGAACCATGTAGTATGTAATCGTGTTCCCGCCTGTACATATTGAGAGATATAAGTTAAAAAATATTTAATCTCAATTCCACTTTCAATGTTCTAACGGCCGCAGTATGCACATTTGAAATAATTCTTGGGTTTTTAACTGTTACCAAAATTGATATCTTAGCACATAACTAGGTCGCCGGTCGACTCTAATATAAATTTGCGGTAAGAAGAAACCAGCCAGGCACAAACGTTGGGCACAGTTTAATTATTTGCTCGCTACTATGCTTTCTCTCCCTTGTAATATCATAAAAGCTGTTAAAGTAATAGTAAAGGCTTCTAAATAGGTCATGGCGATACTCATGTCTAGAGATTTCATGTTGTATTTAGTTGAGAATTTGGCTAAAGAGGGATGAACTTGGATCACCGTCGCGATTTTAGGCGGATGATCATTGACGAATCGAGAGATTTTGGGCGTTGTGTTGTAGATCAACTTGTGCGACCTCGACTTCCACACAACACGCAAACAGGAAATCCAAGAGCCGCCGAGTCATGCCCGAATACTCAGAAGAAAGAACAAGCATATGCAACTTTAGTTATATATTTACAGAGAGTGTATGGTAGTTCCGATACTGGGCGAACTATTTGCAAGTTGGTTATAGATCTTGCATATTCGGTAAGTAATAGAGGTGTTCGGGAAATCAATTACTCATGAGCTCAATTCCAGGTCATCATAACAAACTTTCGGCAGCATTCAGCAATGATATACTAAAGATTAGCAAACAGAACTCGGCAGTCCGAAAGCTTTATATTCGAAAATAAAGTTCCTAAATTTCAGAGTCATAGAATACAGAGACGTTTTGCGCGGGAAACTTTTCAACATTTACCCCAGACTGCTTCGGATTTTGTACTCCTGCCTACATAAACTGTCATAGAACCTGCAAAACGCTATCCAACTAGACGCAGTTTGTTCCTCTAAGAGTAACGTGTCCAGAAATGGTCAGGAAAAGTTTTAACCTTTATATTTACTAAAATAGGGTGGGGTTTTCAATCAAAGCCCTCCTAGCTCAATCGGAAGAGCGTGGGACTTTTAATCATAGTTCTTCCTCCCTGAGGTTTGAATTAGCGGATTAGACATCCCAAGGTCGTGAGTTCGAGCCTCACGGAGGGCGCAAAGCCTCTTTTTTGTCTTCTTTTGCACTTCATTAGCTTCATTTTGAAGTATTCCGGGAGGGGTCGTCGAAAAATCGACTTTGGGAAGGTCGATGAGGTTTTTTTTAGGTTGTGGGGCTGTTGGCAAACATTTGTTGTCGAATGTGTTGTTGCGCGACAAACAGCCATGAGAAGAGTGAAGGGGGCACTTGGTGCTGGTTCCAGACATGCTTTTCGCGAGGGTAGAGGATAAGAACTCGTGGAAGGTTGTGGGAGTAAAGTTGGCTGTGTTTCGAGGTGAGCGTTTTTTCGGGCCCTCGCTCTGCTAGAAAGCTGAGTTCATATCGACGTATCTGTCAGGTCAAACTAATCGGCAAACCTACCGGGTTGCAGAGATATCGAAAGCTCTTTGTCATGGCTCCGATCACGCTGTTGTCTGCATTCTGCTGTTATTTAGGAAAAAGAAAGAAAGAAACTAGCAAACATCTCAAGTATATTAGGAAAACATTAATCGCGGATATAACCATATACTCAAAATTGGCAGCAGATTGGTACGTATTGATACTTTCAAGGCACTAAATCCCACTTCCAGAAATTTCTCTACTTCTCAGAGCGACCTCAACATCCGGTCCCTGCAATGTTCTTGGAACTTAGATTTCTATTCTACGATGTCTACGGTCTCGAAATATCTTCAATCTTTGGATATTTCCACCCAGAACCACCAGATTCTGGTAACCTTAACCTTAGCTGTTACCATCTTTATAAGCGTTAGGCACAAACAAGACCAGTCTTTGCTATATACTCAAATTAAACCGCAACTATGTTTTCCAAAAATCGGAACTGATCAGTCTTTTAGGTAAGTATTCTCCAATCCCAGCAGTATGCCTCAAACTAGTATCTAATGCTAAATGTTTCCTTCAACTCAGCAGCTTGATGTCACCAACACTCAAGCGAACACTACTATATTGCAACGGTGCCAGATATATATAACAACAAACATTCTCGGCTCCAAACCTGAAGCTTCCTTCTATGAACAATTCCAACCCTGCTTCAATAGCATATCATCAAAAGGGTAGAGAGTTGACAACGTTGACGAAAGTATGGATTTAATATGATAATGATTTACGCAGGTAAACAGTTACCTCTGGAACTCTAAAACCAACTACGGCTAGATCTCTAACCCCGACAAACGACTATGGTCACAATGCAATAAGTTCGCTATAGTTGATCAGGATAAGAATACTTTGATCTCACCGAAATTCGATTCCCATATGATTAGACGCACGATCAAACTAGAAACGCTGCAAATTTAAGTCAGATGTTAAATCTAGAATATAGCTGTATATGTGAATATATCAATATCTCGGCTGGGTAAAACTGCGTAACCTTCAGCTTGCTTGGGCCTCGTTTTCGCTGTTCGGATCCCGGCCTGGATCAATTGCAGCGTGGGACATTATCCGATCCAAAATTTGCTTGACTTAGATTAAGAAGTCCGGCTAGAACGTCTAGGAGATCTCATTAAAATAGATGTTTCCACGAGATTTATTAAAGATAGGTTATTCCTTATTTTAATCGGACAAAGCCTTTTAATTAGAAGTAATATAAGATGAATAGGGATGCGAGACCCATACAGCTCTGCAGAATTCAACCAGTCATACAACCTGTGTTCACATTTATTACAAATCTATCAAAAAAGCAAACATGGGCTTGCCCAACACTGAGATTAATGGTCATTGGACTGAGCCAAGGTGTTTTTGAAGCGGATTTCATACCTCAATACAGTCGACAATATACTCGACAGCCCGAGAGGTTATGGTTGCAACGGACTTCAATAAGGTATTCAGTCTAGTATTAAGGAAGGCGCACGATGAGATAGGCATCTTCGTCCAAGCCGTAAGTTTTATAACTTTTGCCGAGAACCGGCTCTACGTCTTCGGCCATATCTCAACATAGATCAAACTAGGACTATTCTTGCGCATGCGCCAGGGTCGTTGTGTTACGCTGCCTATACCACCGAGACTCAAGATTTCGTGCGTTACATCAGCCATATTCGAAACTGAAACGAAAAACCGCGATGAATTGCTGAATCAAGTGGAGTTTTTGCATTGTGCAGAATTTCAAAGGAAATTTTGAAATCTACTTTACCAATTCATCCCATCGATCATCAACCTATGATTTAGGTTGTGGTAGGATCTTAGAGACTCCGCAGACCAGGAGAACTCTAACGCAACTCCTTCACATGCTCCACAAGCAATAGTAGTTTATCAATGCCTAAAGATAAGCCATCAAAGTTCTAAAGTTCGAAACGGGCACACATTTAGGCCTGGATTGACCCGCGGTTGAAGACACAGACGTATTTGAGCAAGGTGCACATCATCCTGCTCTCCTGCTCGTGGCTAAAGATGAGCTCGCAAACCTCTTTTGAAAATTACCACAGAGGATGTTGTCAAGGCATATATTACTATAAAAATCTATTTGATATTATAATTTAAGCTTGCTCTTAGCTAGAGCTTCAATCCTTCGACTTTGGTCTACAGTGCTTACAAAAAGCTTATGAACGGCAAAGCTTCCCTTAAAATATTTACAATATAACAGCTATTTTAGAAACAAAAGAGATAATTTCAAGCTTCATTACAACTGATATATCTCGTACAACCTTTTCCAAACATTTGGGCCTTACAACCTTCTAATCTGATGTCGAACTGGATTTTGTGTTGACTGTTGGTAAACATTTGCTGTGTTGCCCAATGTGTTGCTGCATGACAAACAAGCATGAGTGTGGCAAGGAGGTGGCTTGGCGATTGGGGCAAATACGCTCATGATGTCGGTGAAAGATGGTTATTCATCACGAGGTTAATCGGTGGTTGTTACTTGAATTCAGGGCTGTTGTGTTAGGAGCATTGGTGATGACAATTTATGATATCTTTATTTCAAAGCAGTAACTTCTTTTCTAAGAGGTGTATATAGGGGTATTATAGTGATAGAAAATAAATTGCAAATTGCGACATTCAGTGGGTGGACGAGTGGACGCGTTATCAACGTTGTTCAATCAAATCCAATATACACATCTGTAACCCCTTTCGATAGCTAGTCTGGTACGTTTCTATGGCTTGCATGTTAATCACCCGGATTGAGCAATCACTCAAAAGTTCTCCCTCGTATCACCGTTGAATTGGCAAACTGTGGCATACATTTACGACTGAAATACGTCCGCTGATGCGAGGGGGTTGCGTCGCATGAAATTTAATATATAGTGGGCTGCAATGCAGGAGATATATTGAATAATCGTCGAAGATGAATGATTTCGAAGAAACAAAGTTTTAAAAGTCTCGTTCGGGAACGTTTCAGGTCATGACGTTTCGAAAATAGCAATTTTCAGTCAATAACACTTCCAATGCCGGGAGGAAATTAATTTTGCTTCACAAGAATCCCACCGTTCACGACAATCGCAAACGAACGAATGGAACGTTTGTGGCCGAATGAAATGGAGAGATCTGATTGAAAGATACAGATACAGTCAGACAGCAGGGTAGGAGTGCGACGGGGCGGCTTCAATCTTATTATAGCACCAAAATTCCCGGGGTTTCAATTTGGACAACCGCAGTAAGCAAGCGCACAGCAGCGATCCAACAAGCCCCTTCGCCGTGCGTCCGACAAAATTAGATACTTTTGAACAGTTATTACAATGCAATTGCTCGCTGTGCCATTTTGAAGCGGTTTCTATCAATCATTTTCTACAAGATATTTTTGTCAGTTGGTCTGTGGGGACCCTTCAATTCGGAGATACGACAGCCCCGGTCGTGCATGCCTCGTGGTGGCATTTAGTCTCAGTGGCGGGACGTAGTGGGAACCATATCAGAACGGGTAGCCGGTTCGTCCTTCAGCCCGTCTTTCTTTTTTCAATACCCCCAAGCTACCGCCGTATCCGTAAGCCGCAATCCGTCGATTGATTGATTGCTTCGAATTCCTCAACCTGGCCACCTTCTCGAGTCGTCGACCGATAGAGGGGAGTAAAACGACTGGAAAGGGCGAAACCTGAAGCGGAGGGTCGGTTTCAAGCCTGGCAGTTCGAGATTGTAGCGGCGCCTACCAAAAGCTCATTAAACTAGGCAGGTCTGCCGGGTCCGGTGGAACTAGCGTGCGGCCTTGTTTTATCGCGAAGGGCAAAAAATCCAAAATCCTGCACCCTCCTCCTCCTCAGTCCAAGCCCAGTCGTCATTAAAACCGCCGTGGATGGGCGATAGTTTTGCGGTGCATTCCAGAAACGCGGAGGGCCTCCTTGGATTCGAAAAGCGGCCTAGTGGACAGCTATTTGATTTTTCTGGCACGCCTCCGCCACCCTGATAGCAAATACCGGATTTCAATTTATTAGTCGAGATATCCCTGATAGTTGCTGCTGCTGCTGCTTCTTCAACTGACCAGATTATCTACACCGAGTTCGAAGGTGGTCTTTTTTTTTTTTTTTCACACTCTGTACAAATATATCACTTTACTGGTACTATTAAAAATTCCTCGCCCAGCCTTTTGAGCCATTTGCAGCTTTCGAACCCTCGACTTTTCGGCACCGTCTACTAGTTTTAGACCGGGCGTTCGTTTTCGTTCTTTTATCCGAGTTCCCCGACCTGTCCCTACTCAAGTACTTCCTCACCTACTTACTACATACATACAGAGGGTATATTCTCGTGGTGGTGGTGGTGTCTGGCCTGTCTGTCGCCTGCCAACACACACCTGATCAACCTCCACCCTGCCTTGGTTGCCTCTCTCCCTCGTCTCACCCGTTTCTCATCATTCATTCATCATCTCCCTCTCATCGTCTCTCCTCTTCAACCTCCCTCCATCGCCTACCATCGCCCTTCTCATCCCTCCGTTTCCCACCAATCCCACGTCTCCTATCCCTTCGTAGTCTGTAGATTAGGCTTCATTTACCCACATCCGTGACATCCCTTGCATGGTAGCGTCAACCGACCGACACCGCGTCCCCGCATCTCCCGCCGACCAAAACTTAGGAAGGGCCTCCATA